GGGGGGGGCAGTTAGTCCAGGCCTGCATGTTTTAAGTTTTTTAATTTTTTGATGTTTATTTATTTTTGAGAGAACGGCAGAGCGTGAGTGGGGGAGGGGCAGAGAGAGGGGGAGACACAGAATCCGAAGCAGGCTCCAGGCTCCGAGCTGTCAGCACAGAGCCCGGTGCGGGGCTCGAACTCCTGAACGGTGAGATCATGACATGAGCTGAAGTCGGGTGCTTAACCGACTAGAGCCACCCAGGCAAGGCACCCCTGTTCTTTTTTTTTTTAAGTTTATTATTTATTTTGAGAGAGACAGGGATAGTGTGAGTAGGGGAAGGGCAGAGAGAGAGGGAGAGAGAGAATCCCAAGCAGGCACCGCACTGTCAGCACAGAGCCCGACGTGGGGTTCGAACCCACAAAACCGCCAGATCACGACCCGAGCCGAAACCAAGAGTCGGGCGCTCAACCGACTGAGCCACCCAGGCGCCCCATAAGTTGTTCTACATAAAGATGGTGGCACATTCTGGTCTGTTCTGAGGACTTTGGGGGGGTAATACCCCCTCTGTGATGCATAGCTATTCTAAAGATGTCTAGACATCTTTAGGACCGAAGCCACTTCCAAAATTTCTCAGCATTCCATGGGGTCGAATGCCGTGGTTTTAGACACAAAGCAGTTCCAGAGCCATTGAATGGTGCCGCTAAATAAACCTGAAAGACAATCGGAGTAAATGCCTGCATGGGGAGTCTTACTCTGTCCAGCAGATCTTGTCTAGCAGCTCCTTCATGGTCATGTGGTCCCACTCCTCTGCAAGGGGTGCCTTCCACGGGGCATCACTGGGGATCTACACTCAGGTAAGGGTTGGGGGGGGGGAACACAAATGTAACTTTCCATTTTAAATAGCTCTCTCAATAGTATTAAAAACTCTACCTTGAAGAAGGAAAATGTAAGCTTTCCAAATTCTCCCAGTAAGGATTTTTACTGCCCAACCGAAGTGGTTTGTGTAGCGTTGCTATTATCGGTCTACACCACCGGATCCATATTTAATTTCCGGTAACACTCCCCGCACAATCAACGGAGGCTACGTTGAAATCAGGCCACTTGCAAAAGTCGATGACCAAGTTACTCCTTTAGAGGCGGCATTCATAAATTTAGCTCTTTAACCAGGACCAGACAGGCGTACTAAGTCACACCTAAATTGGAATTGCAGGTCAAGCTCCGTGTGTGTCAAAAGACCTTAGGAGTCTTATTCTGCTATGTCCTGAGGACTTTCTAAATTAGAAACGTCCTGCCAGGAAGGCTGAGTGGTTTATCGTCTTCTCCCCCCTCACCGGTGATACACAGACAGCACACTGGTGGACGTCTTACTCGTTTAGAGGGTAGAAACAGGTTCATTCTCCCATTTCGTAAATCTGCACGGAGATACCTTCTGTACGAAGCCATACGCTAGGCATTGCTGATACATAATCCCTTCCTTCTCTTAAGGACTAAGCTTATGAAAAATACAAATGCAGTCAAAGAAGCTTTAGTGAGCTTTACCTCTCGTCCCATGTCATCCATCGTCCTCCAAAGGTTGTTATGATCTAGGTACACAATTGGGTTCCACACAGGTGGGAAGGGGCCCCTGAAGGGGTATGATTTGCCCTGTGAGATATAAGGTATTTTTAAAAGGAAACATTCACTATAATGTAAAAATACTCAAATTCCTTGTCAATTTGTGACATACACTTAAGCGTTTTAATTCCTTGTGTCCTTAGAACCCTACTTAGCTTTTCAGCATAGAAATTTCTAGCTCAATTCTCTGTTACCTAAATAAATTTGGTGCCAACCCCCCAAAAAAACAATAAAAGGGTTTCTCTCTGAAATCAGAACCCCTACCACGAAAAACTTAAATGCCGGTACATTAGTGGGGTTACCAAAAGTTATCTCATTTGCCAGTGATACTTGCAAATACCTCAGAGTGATGGGACCCTATGGGTCTGGAGGATCAGAAAATTACAACTATAAATGTTACACAAGGTAGAAGAAGATGAAAAGCCGATTGTAGGGATGTAAGCATATGTAGGAAGAGCCATAAGACACAGCCCAGCAAGCTTTTCCAAGCAATCATAGGTGCTAGGTCAACAAGGAGTTCCCGGAGGAATTTCAAGGTCAAAGCAGAAAGAAGAGACAATTCAGAGGCACCTGGGTGGTTGAGTTGGTTAATCGTCCAATTCGTGATTTCGGCTCAGGTCATGATCTCGGGGTCATGGATTGAGCCCCTTGTCAGGCTCCATGCTAAGTGTGAAGCCTGCTTAAGATTCTCTCTC